AGCCAGGGAGTCTATCACTACAGACAAGTGGGTCTCCACAACCCACTTTGCCTCACTTCCACCAATGAACCATGCTTCCCATCCCTCTTCAGGGACCCTTCTCACGACAGAATGCTTCAAGATATAGACACACTCTTATATATGGGGGCTATAGAACCAGTTTCCATATAGCACAGAGGGAAGGGACTTTATTAAAGTATTTCCTGGTACCAAAAAAGAGTGGAGGTTGGAGACCCATCCTAGACCTGAAACTACTCAACACCTCTGTGAAGGCACAGAAGTTCAAAATAGTGATGCTTACAGTGATAATTCCATTAGAGCAAGGAATTGGTTCTCAGCCCTCTACTTTCAAGATTCATATTTCCACATCACTATCCACCCATCCCACAAATGGTTTATCCATTTTATTGTTGGCCAGGACCACTATCAATACTGATTGCTCCCCTTTGGCTTATCATCCGCCTCAAGGGTCTTTTTGAAGGTCATGTTGATGGTAGTTATGCAGGAAAGTATTCTCTTACCAGGACAATTGGCTGCTGAAAGGAGGAGCAAGATCCTCTTCCTTTTGCACCAAGACATCAGACTCTGGAACTGGTGCATATGAAACAAGCTCACTATCACGTTGGCATTCAGAATGTGACTGCAGACTCACTCAGCAGACACTTCTTCCAAGACAAGTGAGAAATAGACTCCAACATATTACACCACAGATTCTGTCAGTGCGGTACCCCCCAGATAGACTTGTTTGCCACTTCTGCTCAAGGGGCAGATTGGGTCACCAATCCATAGGGGACACTTTTCACCCTCAGTGGATGTCAACCCTACTGTATGCACTCCTGCCAACTCTCCTAATAGCCAAAGTTATGCTCAAAACAGAGCCAGAGTAATTCTAATAGGTCCAACTTGGCCCAGGCAAACATGGTTTTCTTACCTGATACAGCTATCTGTTTGCCCTCTGATCACTCTCTGCATCACTCCCCATCTCGTCTCGTAAGAATGCAGGAAGATTTTTTTCATCCCAATGTCACGATGCTTGGTCTCAAAGCATAGCTGTTGGTGGCTCATGCGATTAGAGGCAGCCTGCTCAGAGGACATAAAAAGAGTGATATTACACAGTAGGAAACAATCTACTTACTACATGTATTCTGAAAAATGGATGTGGCTTGCCAGTTGGTCTGACCACGGGCAGCTTTCACCAATGACTACATCGCTTCTGGATATACTAGACTACACCCTAGCTCTGAAAACCACGGGTCTATTGATGAGCTCCATAAGAGTCTCCCTGTCAGCCATCATGGCTTTTCACCACCCATCAGAGGGCTATTTCGTCTTTACCCACCCGACCACAGCAAGATTCCTTGGAGGGATGGGAAGAGAAATCTTTTATCTTCCAGTCCAGTTCCCTACCCCAGTATTGGACCTCAGTCTGGTCCTCAAATGCCTCACAAGACTGCCCTTTAAACCTCTGGCTACCTGCTCACTGCTCCATTTGCAATGAAGATGGCATCCCTGACAGTGCAATGGGTTGGAGAAATAGAGGCCCTAATGGCATATTCCCCCTTCACAGTGTTTTAAGGACAAGGTCACACTGCGGCCCCACTTCACATTCTTACCTAAGCTCTCTTTTGAGTTCCATCTCTATCAGCCCATTCATTTGCTTGTCTTCTACCCCAAATCGCATCTGAATTCCCAGGACACACTGCTGCATACCCTGGATTTTGTCTAGACAGAACAAAGCCCTTCAGAAAGATCAACAAGTTATTCATCTCGATAGCAGACAGATCAAAAGGGTCAGCAGTCTCTAACCAGAGACTTTCCAAGTGGATATCAGACTGCATTAACTCGTTACCAGTCTTGTAACATTCAGCCACCTTCACTTTCATGCTCATTCTACAAGCTCTGTTGCCACTTCCATGGTCTTCTTCTAAAACCTACCAATCATCAACATCTGTAGAGCCACTATTAGGGCATCCATCTGTACATTCTCCCAACACTACGCAATAACTCACGACTCCACCTCTGATACTGTGTTCAGCTCGACTGTATTTTCCACCGTATTGGACTCAGCTCCGAAGCCTCTTCCACCTTAGATGGCACTGCTCCATAGTCACGTAGAGCACCCGTGGGGAGGCTACTTGAAGAAGAAGGAGGAATGGTTACTCCCCCTGTGCAGTAATTGTGGTTCTTCAAGATGTGTTCCCCTATGGGTGCTCCACTACCTGTCCTCCGTCCCCTCTGCTTCAGAGTTCTCAGCGATGGGGCTCTGCAGTAGAGAAGGCACAGAGGGCAGTTTGCCCATGCAGTGCTATGTAACAACTGCACTGGGCACAAGACTGACGAACACAGAAATTTCCAGTCCAAAGCGCAGGGAACACTAGCGAACCTGAAGTGGAGCACACATAAGGACAAACATCTCGAAGAACTAGAGTTACTGCACAGGGTGAGTAACCATTTCTTCTTGGCACAACTGTAGTTCATTTTCAGAAATTACAAGCTCTTTTACCTAGAGACAAGGTAGCAATATTAACTTAGGGTCCCAAGATGGATTTGGCAATAAACTTCTCCCCCCGCCCCCCACCTTGAAAGAACAGCATTTTATACTGAAAAGGTGTTAAACTTTAATGACCCACAGTATTTAAAAAATAGGTTAAACCTTTTAAATGGTTTAGAAACTTGGACGTTTTGTTTGCCCCCCATGAAGTTATGTTAATAATATTTAGAAGTACTGAAATGGTGCAGAATGTAGCTACCATAAGCAGATCAAAGATGGACAAGTACCAGTGAAATATCACTGACTCCTAAGAAATATATTAGTTATCTAAATAGAGATTAACCTTTTCACTCTGTTAAATCTTGAAGTCCTTACTCCAGCAAAACTCACTGACTACAAGGAGAGTTTTGCCTGAAGGAGAACTGAATAAGGACTTCACCCTATGGTTTACTTACCTTAGATGGGAAATACTTTGATTAACTTAAGGAACCAGATTTATAACTGGTGTCAACTTCATTCATTTCATAAACCTAGTTTTTTTTAATGGCTAGCCCTTTTTTCTAATTCTTGCTCTTCAAAAATATTTTGAGGCTTTATAGTCTGGTTATCATTTTCCTGAACTCTGATCACTCTTTTAAGAAATTGTGGCTTTTAATTAATTTTTGAAGGAATCATCTCCTCAGTTTGCACTACACAGATTTCTTTACTTAGAGCATCCTCATTCATGGAGAAAGTTCTTGCTAAGTGCTGAATATTTTTATTACTTTGTGAGACACTGTTCTAGTGTCCTGAAAATCATTATCAGTAATAACAATCCAACACTAACCTTCTTAAATAAGAATAATGGCTAGAGCTCCTGCAGAAGATCAGTTGCACAGATATAACTTAAAATAAATAATTCAATAGTGAACTACAAGAACAATACAAAAGTCCAATTCCACTGATAGTTGTAAGCGGACTGCATAAATATGTGAAGTGTCAACCTATGTTTAAATGACTGAATGAATTCCTCATAGTCAAATTCCACAGTCCTTAGCGCTTACATAGCTAATATCCCACTGAGGTGAATGGGATGTGTCACAGATCTAGTCAAATGCCCCCTCTTGACTGTTCACCAGACTGCTGTGAGGAGCAGCAACTAGATTCCATGTGCTTTAAGCCATCAGAGCCTGAATAGAGATCATGCACTGCCCTTATCTGGGGGTCCCAGACACACTCTTGTAGTACAGACCCTTTGTCTAGCACCTCCTCCTGACAACAGACCTTGTAGTCCAACTGGCCAGCCCCTGGTGGACCACTACTTACCCTCAAACTTTTCATAACTTTAACACAGTCTCCAAGGAACTGTAGCCATGTGGGCGTTTTAGGTTCACAGGTTAACTCTTTTTAAGAGCGCTTGAGAGGTGCAACACATAACACACATGTGGACTGACTTTGTGAAGAATTCTAAACTGCCACTGCTCTTTACGTAACCACTTAAGATATACACAGGTCTATATTAAAATAATACATCCTCCGCACATTTCCCTGCAACACTTTTTCTCATCACTACAGAGAATTCTTTGAACTGGGATTTGGATACCCTAGGGATGTCCAAGATCCTCCTGCTGCAGCTCATGGCTTGACTTCTGATTTATAGAGCTTGCTTTCTCTAACCTTGGTTGTTCACATAGCTAAACCCCCTTGCTCCCACTATGAAAGCATGCCCAAACTTATCCCCCCGTCTCTATGAAAGCTATCCCAAAGCTTTCTAGATGGCTCTGTAAGTCCCTCAAGTTCATATGTCCCACCAGTAGTCCCTGGTTCTTGTGTCCTGCTGCTGGTAATTTTACATTCTCCAAGCCCTTTACTCCTTATAGATGAGCTGGAGGGAGTGACTTGTCCCGGCTCCAGCCAACCTCCTTAGTATACGTATTGACCAGTCAGTGCACAGTCATTAATGTTAACTGCTTTCCATTGTTTCTAGCCTGGGGCCATGGCTGTGCTATAGTGGTATAGCTATAGTGTGGCAGGCTACACCGACAGAAGGTATTTTTCCATCACTCTAGGAATTCCATTCCCAGAGCAATGGTAGCTAGAGCAACAGAGGGATTCCTTCAACCCAGCTGCATCTACATCAAAGGTTAGGTTGGTATAACTATGGCACTCAACAGTGTGGATTTTTCACACCCCTGAGTGCCATAGCTATGTCATCCTAAGTTTTAAATTTAGACCAGGCCTGGGAGACTTGTGCTGATAGGTTCATCAGCAGTGGCGGATACACATTGACATAGAGACATTCCATGATAGTGTTTTTCATAAGAACAACTTGACCATTGCAACCAGAATTCGTAAGCTGTATAGATAGATTTCTCAAATCATCACAGGATGCCATCTGCATAAGTGCCAAATAAGAAGTAGTAATCTGGTCCTTATCCTTTTAATGGCTGAAGACTGATCAGTGTGGGGAATTAAATAGTCCTCAAAATATTTATTTTGTAAATGGATTAATTGGTACCTTTCTCTGTAGCCATTTGTTATACATGACATGGAAACACTGTGTATGGCAGAGAAGACTCTCGTGGCAAAACTGGTAGCCAATGGAATCCAGAACAAGGAAGCAGAAGTTCGAATCTTCCATTGTTGCCAGTGTACATCTGTAGAGACTGTAACAGAACTTACTGAATTTGCCAAATCTATCCCTGGCTTCTCAAATCTTGATTTGAATGATCAAGTGACTCTGTTAAAATATGGAGTTTATGAAGCCATTTTTGCCATGCTAGCTTCTGTAATGAACAAAGATGGGATGCTAGTAGCCTATGGAAACGGCTTTATAACTCGGGAGTTCCTGAAAAGCCTAAGAAAACCATTTTGTGATATTATGGAGCCGAAGTTTGATTTTGCAATGAAATTCAATGCACTGGAGCTGGATGATAGTGACATTTCGCTTTTTGTGGCTGCTATCATTTGCTGTGGAGGTAAGAGATAAATATCTGTTCTTTGAAGTAATATTTATGATTTCACTCCCATCGTTTAGTAATTAAAAATGGAAAAGTATATTTCGTTGTAATTTATGGAATTATGACAATTCAGTTCTGTCACTAACAATGTTTGTCTCATGTTAAATTATGTTTGGTATAAGATAAATACTCATTAAGGCCTTAATCCTGCAATGTATTGCACAGGGGTCTGCCCATTTACAACACGTTGTTGGATTGGTGCCTTGGGGCTTTCTAGTTTTAAAAGTGGGATGTGAAGAGTATCCCTTCCTTGAGGAATAGGGTTGGGCATGAAGAAATATTTCTAAACTCTGAAAAAGGTGGGAAAATACAATATGGGGCTGATAGTGGAGTTAGATATTCCTGTTTCTTTTAATCTCATCCTTAGAGGCCAATAAAATTATGGCTTTGATGTTGCTCTTTGGTACATGTGAGTGGACCCACATTGAAATCAAAGGGTTTTGCGCAGCCACAGCATTCTGCCCAGGCATTTCATATTGCAGGATTGTGACCTTAATTTTAATGTTTATTTCCAGAAAATAGCATTCTTAAATTTGAGTTAAGATTATAAATACTTTCTATGTTATAGTGCTTAAAGTTGTGCTAGATCAGTGGTTCTCAACCAGGGGTATGCAGAGGTCTTCAAGGGAGTACATCAACTCATATAGATATTTGCTTAGTTTTACAACAGGCTATATAGAAAGCACTAGCAAAGCCAGTACAAACTAAAATTTTATACAGATAATTACTTGTTTATAGTGCTCTACATACAGTACACTGAAATGTTGTAAGTACAATATTTATATTCCTGTTGATTTATTTTATAATTTATATGATAAAAATGAGAAAGTAAACAATTTTTCAAGTAATAAGTGTGCTGTGACACTTTTTTGTATATTTCGCCTGATTTTGTAAGTAGTTTTTAAGTGAGGTGAAACTTGGGGTAAGCAAGACACATCATGCTCCTGAAAGGGGTACTGTATCTAGAAAGATTGAGAACCACTGTTCTAGATGATTGACAGACGACCTCAAACAAACCACTGCCCAACATTGTTTACACTCTAAATTTAATAATTTGGGGGGCTTAAAAGAATGTAATTTAAAATAAACAGAATGGAAAAAAACAGAGTTAAGGTTTCACTTTAAAACTCCTCACAAACATTTGGAAATACACAGTCAAGGTGCTCCAGACTCTACCCTTGCAGCTCTGGATCCTTATCCACCCATATTAACAGGACAGCCTTTCACCTCTTCTCCCAGTATTCACAAAATGAGGCATATATCCCACAGTACTGTCCCATACTTAACATACTGCACCAATTCCTTCACTACATATAAGCCACCTGCCCAGCCTATATCTTCCATCTTTTATTTCATGTGCAGACCAAAAACCTCTGCCCCAACATCCCAACTTCTTACTGTCATCAAGGTACCGCAGCTTATGACCTGATACCCTCTAAGTACAATCCACAAACATCACCCCCCCATCATGATTTACTATAAGACAAAAGGCCCAGTATACCTTGTGAATATTATTTTTTACTGCACACAAACTGTTAAAAGAACATTATTTAAGGTTGTAAACTCAAGCACTCAAAAGTTAGAAAATGCTGGAATTGTCCATGCCTGTGCAACTCTATTTCAGCCCTCTTCTGCATATTAATATGATCCAGTTTTTAATACATGATCACATGGGTATTTTTTTTCACAGGACCCCTGCCTCATTCAGTGCACAGGATAGTGCTTTGGAGGTGCAGCAGGGCTGTGTAGCAAAGGAGAGCAGGAGCCCTGCTTTATTTGTTACAGAAGTTTGAAGGTGTGTAGTGAATGAGATAGAAGGTGGTCACTAATTGTGTGTGCGCCTCATGTTCTGGGTGCCTGACCTGAGACCCTGGGGTCTGATTTGCAGAAGAACTGAGCACTTACAGTTGCAATTGAAGTAAAAGGAAGCTGTGCTGTGAATATAATAAACACTCTATAATTCTAGCTACACTGAACAATCAGGGCCTAGGTGTCTGAAATTTGGGCACCCAAAATTAGTGGATACTTTTGACTGTAATCTCTGTGTGCCTCAGTCCTCATCTGTAAAATGTGGATAATAATATCCCCATATCTCACAGGGTGTTGTGAAAATAAATGTATTAATGACTGAGAGATACTCGGATACTATGGTGATGAGTGCCACAGAAAAGTTCATGAAGAAATTAATAATTCTATCTTCAGGGCAGGGTATGCATAGTGGGCAGTAAATAAAGCCTGGTGCCATACACAGAACAAAAAGGAGAAAACAAAATATTAAATAGCTGCTCATTAAGTGAGCACCAGCCACCCAATGCACTGAATGAGGGAGTCCTGGGGGGAGGAGAGTGAGGGGAGGGAGATGTGATCATGTAAGTAAAGACTATATCGTAATTAGGCTTGGCAGAATTCTATTTTTATATATAATTTCAATGGATAATATTGATGTATTTTTTTTCTATTTTATCACTTTCAATTTTCATAGTTGTGGGAGACTGCAGGAGCAGGCAATAATTATTTAATGACAGTAGACGTAGAGTCAAAAAGTTACAGATTTATAATGGTTAAAACTAGGGCTGTCAAGTGATTAAAAAAATTAATCACCATTAATCACGCAATTAAAAAAATCACGATTAATCGCACTGTTAAACAATAAGAGAATACCATTTACTTAAATATTTTGGATGTTCCTTACATTTTCAAATATATTAATTTCAATTACAACACAAAATACAAAGTGTACAGTGCTCACTTGATATTTTTGATTACAAATATTCGAATTGTGAAAAGCAAAAGAAATAGTATATTTCAATTCACCTAATACAAATACTGTAGTGCAATTTCTTTCTAATGAAAGTTGAACTTACAAATGTAGAATTATGTACAAAAAATAACTGCATTTAAAAATAAAACAGTGTAAAACTTTAGAACCTACAAGTCCACTTAGTCCTATTTCAGCCAGTCGTTCAGACAAACAATTTGCAGGAGATAATGCTGCCCGCATCTTGTTTACAATGTCACTCAAAAGTGAGAACAGGCGTTCACATGGCACTATTGTAGCCGGCATCACAAGATATTTATGTGCCAGATGCACTAAAGATTCATATGTCCCTTCATGCTTCAACCACCATTCCAGGGGACATGCGTCCATGCTGATGACAGGTTCTGCTCGATAACAATCCAAAGCAGAGCAGACCGACGCATGTTCATTTTTATCATCTGAGTCAGATGCCACCAGCAGAAGGTTGATTTTCTCTTTTGGAGGTTCGGGTTCTGTAGTTTCCTCCTCGGAGGGTTGCACTTTTAAGACATCTGAAAGCAATCTCCACACCTCAGCCCTCTCAGATTTTGGAAGGGACTTCAGATTCTTAAACTTTGGGTCGAGTGCTGTATCTATACTTAGAAATCTAACATTGGTACCTTCTTTGCATTTTGTCAAATCTGCCGTGAAAGTATTCTTAACACGAACGTATGTTGGGTCATCATCCGAGACTGCTATAACATTAAATATATGGCAGAATGAGGGTAAAACAGAACAGGAGACATACAATTCTACCCCAAGGAGTTCAGTCCCAAATTTAATTAACGCATTTTTTTTTTTAAACGAGCATCGTCAGCATGGAAGTATGTCCTCTGGAATGGTGGCTGAAGGGACATATGAATGTTTAACATATCTGGCATGTAAATACATTGCAATGCTGGCTACAAAAGTGTCATACAAAGACCTGTTCTCGCTTTCTGGTGACATTGTAAATCAGAAGCAGTCAGCAGTATCTCCCATAAATGTAAACAAACTTGTTTGTCTTAGCGATTGGCTGAACAAGAAGTGGGACTGAGTGGACTTGTAGGCTCTAAAATTTTACACTGTTTTGTTTTTGAGTGCAGTTATGTAATCAAAAAAAATCGACATTTGTAAGTTACACTTTCACAATGAAGAGATTGCACTACAGTATTTGTATGAGGTGAATTGAAAAATACTATTTTGTTTATCATTTTTACAGTGCAAATATTTGTAATAAAAATAATATAAAGTGAGCACTGTACACTTTGTATTCTGTGTTGTAATAGAAATCAATATATTTGAAAATGTAGAAAAACATCCAAAAATATTTAATAAATTTCAATTGGTATTCTATTGTTTAACAGTGCAATTAATTGCAATTTTTTTAATCAGTTAATTTTTTTAGTTAATTGAGTGAGTTAACTGCTATTAATTGACAGGTCTAGTTAAAACACAAATTGTCAACATCACATGTCAAAATATACAAAATAAATATCCTTAAATCAAACTCTTAAGTTCTCAGGCAGCATTTTTCTTACTCTATGCATGCCTGGATTATTATCAATGGAAACACTTTTTGTTTCGTGTGTGTATGGTGAAATCCAAATTTCCTGATAAATCTGATCTTTCCAAGCCTAATCATAATGCTTACACCCATCCCTAACTCCTTGTCCCATTCCTGTCCTCTCCTAGCCAGTCATCTTCACTCTTGAGGCGTATTGTTGCCAAGCAAGTGGTAGTCTTGCCCTTCTGGACTCACCACCCCAGTCCCAGTCAACTTCAACATCCATACCCAGTTCCCGTCTCCCCCCCCACTTCTACCAGCTCTTCATCTAATCTGTCTCTTTCCCCCACCACAGCCTCCAGTTGATGCTCCTAGTTCAAATTTCCCTACCCAGGCTCCTTGTCCAATTTCATTGTCATCCTCCCGCTCCGAGGCACCTTGTCCAAGTCTGTTTGCCCAGACAGTCCCAGTAGTCCCTGTGTACCAATGCTACTCATCAGATCCATCTCCCTTTCTCCCACATCCTAAAACAAAGGCCTCCCTTTCATTTGCCAAATTTGAAATCCCTGTTCCAAAGTACAGGTGTGCTATATCTTTCCAAATAAAAGATTTATTTTTTTTTTTTTAGCATGGACAACATATATGTTTTTCCCAGCCTCATACTTGGAAACAGCTGAAGTTCTAGCCCGAGGCACACACCTGGCATGGAAAATTTCAGCCCACATATTTGTCAAAGTTACAAGCAACTGAAAACATGATCTGATAATGAGAAGTGTCTCATAATCTTAATGATAATAAATGGTGTTGCCAGCCTCCTCTATGATTAATTGCATGATGGTAATATCTATCAAGTACCAATCCAGATTGGTGACTCATTGTGTTTGGCACTGTAGTAACATAGTAAAATATCTTCCCTGTTCCAAAGAGTTTACTAAAAACACCCAAATGCTTAATCATATTTATCCTTCTGATTGGGATTGGAGACCCCACAGCCTTCATATAGAGAACATAAAATCAGATATCCAGGCTAGACATATCCACTGTACTATAGCAGAGGGTTTGTGAGTCACGTAGAGAATTCTCTCTTCAGCCCATCTTGAAATAACATTGGCAAAAGTCATGAGGACCTATTTATTTATTTTATTTTATTTAATAAAGTTAGTCTGTACCAGTACTCCTGACAGAGTATTCCATAGCTATTCAGTTGTATTTCAGAAGTTCACTGATGACAAGATTTTACTTTGGGCCTGATCCAAAATCACTGGTGTCGATTGGAGTAATCTCATTGTCTTCAGTGGGCCCCTGGAGCAGGCCTTACATGCAGATAAAATATGAACAATGGTAAGATTATATGACGTGTATTCTTTTGTTTGTTTTGAGAACAGATCGCCCTGGTCTTGTAAATGTAGAATACATTGAAAAGATGCAGGAGGGCATTGTGCATGTACTAAAACTTCACTTGCAAAACAACCATCCTGATGACATCTTCCTCTTCCCAAAACTCCTCCAGAAAATGGCGGACCTCCGACAGCTTGTCACAGAGCATGCTCAACTTGTTCAGATAATCAAAAAGACTGAATCTGATGCACTCTTGCATCCTTTATTACAAGAAATCTACAGCGATATGTATTAAGGCTTTTTTGTAATTTTTTCCACAGTATTTAAAGCCAAGAGCAATATTAATAATAGATTGGAGAAAAATTACTTTGTACAGTTATCGGCTGTGCTTAATTCAAGAACATAAAAAATCTAAATTGTAGGTAACTGGAATGTCATGCTTCTTTTGTCGTGGGTTCTTTAAGTACTTTAGAGAAATTACATAGTGCTCATGAATTTGCTCATAAGAAGCTTTGGTTAATTTGAAATTTGAGGGTTAGCAAGAATGTATATGTACTGAACAAGTAGATGTTTAACAAATCTGAATCTGTTAACTAACACAGACCTTGATTGATCAAAATTATATTCTGTATTGGGCTAGTCGTTGAGCATTAATTTACCAAATAGGGCAAAATTTGTTCAAGATACATGCACTATCTTCTAGAGATTATGTACTCTTGGTTTAAATACTTTCATGTTCATTATTGAGAACCAACTAGCACTTTCAATTTTTTTCTCAAACAAGAGTCAGGCTAGGTGTATCAAGTGGCTGGGTATAACTATACATGCACAGGTATATTTATTTGAAAGATACTTACTTTGTTGCTGTCTGAATTATGGGAGAAATAGTACTACTAAAGTAAATTTAGGATTAGCCTTTTGAAAAGTCTTTTTTTAAAAAGTTAAAGGATTATCATGGTGTAACTCACATAATTGCTTCCCTGCCATTGCGGGAGCCTGAGGCACTTAGGTGCACCTTGATCCCTTCTAGTATCCCATGGGATGTAATATCCAATGACCAAAATTAGACCAACCAAAGTATCAGTGTGTGGGTCCTGGGTGATGCTGGTATCCTCTGATATACAGGAGGTCAGACTAGTTGATCTAGTGGTCCTTTCTGGCCTTAAACTGTACTACTCTATAAACTATGGAAAAGATATCTTAGCAAGATGCTTGTTAGTGAATTATACTTTACAGTGGGGGAATGCTTTTTCAAAAGTGTTCTAATGAAACTAGGGGAAAGTCCCTTTTGGGTGGAGTATATTGTGTGCATCTTGGAGAAGTCTTAATAGCTTAAGATGAAATTTTTACTTTAAAATGCCATTTTGAATTAGCAGGACTTGGGGAGTCTCCCAGAAGTCTGATTCTTGCCCCAAGGAAGCTGAATTCCAGATTGTCAGAATACAATAGCTTCAGGTGGTGGTCTACTCTGAAAAATGATTGTACAAACATGGCACCTTTATTCTTAACAGATCTTCAACCAGTTTGTATTCAAAGTGTTACATATTTACTGTTCTGAAAAAATATTATTTTACATTCTTTGCTTATATTAGCCCCTCAAACCTTAGTGAACTGCCTTCTGTTCCTCCTTACACATTGTCAACAGAACTATTAACTAAATTCTAAATGCACTATATTTTGCCCTCCTTTTTCTCTACCCCACTGGAGGCAACATGTACAGAAAGCAGAATTTGTAGACACTGATTGCACAGTTGTAAAGGAAGGGGGCACAGCTTGGAGAAAATAGATTCATGTAATTGAGGGCAGAATCTGAGCCACGGTGTACTACTTACTGGTGATGTAAACCAGAATAACACAGCTTTAGTTTATGTCCATGTTGTCTGCGGGACTGGCAGTTAGAACAATCATGGTACAGTAAACTGAGCACATTTAATCTGAAAATCATTGAAACATAATAGACATGAAACTCCATCCTGCCACTTTGCAGACTACTGTATAAAGAATGAAAACAACTGCTAGCCATGAGTTTCTTTTGGGAGTAACATTTAAAATATTTATTAAAGACGGTCTCTTTCTGCTCTTACCTTTCTTTTCCTTTTTACCCTGACAGTTTCTCTATTGATCTTTTTTTATTGGGTGTTAAAACAATGATCTTGACAGCCAATTTTAGTAATACTTTCATAGTAATAATTTCTGTGGCAGAAAAGGGTCAGTTTTCATGTCTGCTTTATTGCAGCATGGTTTCAAGGCTTCAGAATCATAACCCTTCACTAACAGAATCAACCTGGGTGTAAGGTTTGTTGAATCCCAGAACACAGAACCGTGATCTCTGTTTTTATCATTGAACTTGTTTCTGCTAGAGACTTGTTGGTACAGTTAGGCTTTTGGTCATTTGAGCCTTACATATTGTAAGATGATTAGAGTGATTTTTTTCAACTTACACATTACAAGTGTTAAAAACAAATTATCTATACTTCCATCAGTGTGTTTGGAATCTATTGCAGTTTCTGTGCTTATGTAACCTCTCAGGCACACACAGCTCAAACTGGAGTATGTGTCTGGGGGAGGGAAAAAGTAAAGAGTGCATGCACACAAAATGATGACATGCATACTACCTTTCCCATCCACCATTTTTTCTTTCCACAGTCAAAAGTATGGATATAGTACATCTGCCTTATCTATTCAATTAGCGAATAGATTTTCATGTTTTATCAAAAAATTAGTGAATTGAGAAATGATCTCCTTTTATGTATTATGGCAGTACATGGTGTCTCTTCAGAAAAATGAGAGGATTTCATCAGTGGTACTTTCTGCTACTAAAAATGCCCATTGCCAGTTGCAAAAGTTCAAAAATCATGAGTCAGATGCCAAAAAATTATGAGGTTGGCTTAAAAACTATAAGATATATAATATCTTTGATTCTGGGGGGCAAGGGTGGTCTTTTAGTTTCTGAGCTTTAGGGGCTTTTAGGTCACAATTTCAAACTTTACTCCCAAGAATGAGGGCTAGGAACTTAAGTGAAGGCTGAGATTCTCACATAAAGCCCCATCTTCAAGAAAGAAGTGATTAAATAAAATCAAATATTGCAAGACTCATAATGAAGTCGTAAGAGTTGCCAGTATTTGAGTTCTCAAGTTAAATATGGACCTGAATGCTCTGGATCTGTTAAAATACTTCAACTTCCTATTATTGTTATCTGTCCTTCTGGAAATTTATTTGACTTGTTCTAGGTTCATTTCATTTTCTGTACACTCTCCCTGTTTGTTTCCAACTTTCATATAGGTCCAAATTCTGGACCTCTGCACAGATCTTAAATAAACAAACGTTGCTCAGGGAAAGGTCCATGGGAGTCAGGGAAGGGAACATTTTTACCCTATTGAGCAGCACCCATTACACTTACTTTTCTCCATGTAGGTGATTAGACTGGTGGAGCCACATAATCATTGTCAGACTGGCTATACCCTTGCCCATACCTCACCATTCCTACCACCAGCCACTAGTCTGCACTGCTTTGGAGGAAGCCAGTGTGGAGTCAAGTTCAGTGCTGTCCAGAATGCACAGGGTACAGAAGAATCACAGTGATTCCACTGACTAAGTTGCTGTGCTTCCATTGAGAGGGAGGTAGGGTTTGTCCCAGAATGAATAACTATTACAGTGAATGATGAATTTTTGGTTTTGCCATTTGGGATAAAATGTGATGTTTTGTTGCCTGGATGGTTGAGCAAGGACAGCACTTTTCAGAGAGAGACAGACTTCAGTGCAATGCTAGAATTGCCTCGGCAGGTAGATGATATGCATATGGAGTTACTACTGTTTATAAAGCTTAGATGAAAGCATTTGTTCCTCAAAACTCAAACCCTCAGAATGTTTGTCCTGTAAGGGGGTGTGATGCAGCTGACTCAGTTTTAGTTGTTTGACTAATAGTAGTCCCCATAATTAAGTCTTTGACCATCAGCCATTATGAATACCTGCTCTGTTATGAGCCCTAACAGTTAATTCCTTGCTGCCTGGTGGTGAAGGAGACTTTTTTTTGTTTTGTCCATTCCCACCTCATCTGCTGAATGAAACAATCTCATTTTCCTTCAATCTTTCATAAACGCTAGGTCTTCCTGGTGCCACTTTGTCTGATACCAAGTACAAAGGTGGAGCAGAACCTATTAACCTCCCTAATGCTCTTGTTTAGTTACATTTGGTACACACCACATCTCCCCAGGTGAGGCAGTACGCTGTCCCACCTCCACGTGTATATGCTATGACTACGAGTGTCTGAGTACATCAACATGCATGCTATCACAACATGTATTTTCACACTTAACACCAATAGTGCTACCCCTACTGGTGGTCTCTTCAGCTGTAGTTGGCATCTCTCTCAGTATTCTTGATGTATGCAGCACCCACATGTGTGTAACCGTCTGAACAGCACACTTGGTGTGAACCTGATTACAACAGTAGCAATGGCACACATCCAGAGCCTCTTTGTTTATCAGCAAAGTTCCTGATCTAGAAATTCATTAATCAAACATCTACAAGTTTTTAAATAGGAAAAAACAGCAGTCGCATTTCAAGACCAACTAATGTTTGGATAGTTTCCATAACTATTTGAATTTTGATAAGAGTTTTAAAGAGCTACAATTAGCATTTAAAATATATGTACAAAAAGTATTTGTCTAGGGGTTACACAAACTTGAACAAGATGTTAACAGATCCTAAAATTCTGGGAGATTCTACTGAGTGCACTACAGAGATACCTATACTGCCTTCCTAGAATACAAGTCACAGAACAATAGTCTCAACTGTAAATTTAGTATTAGTATACAGAACTTTATTTTAGCATTACGTTTTTCACAGATATAGCTCAGCTACCTCAACAGATTATCACAGTAGACGCTAACAAATTTGATTTTCAAGATGGCTGCTTTTGTGAAAGTTTACAGTTTGAACTAACTGTAAACAGATTCCTGAGTAACTCATCATGCACAAAGGAGTCAAATCATTCAAGCTTTAGTTGTGTTGTTCTTTTTAAATCAATTCTATACAAGAAAAAGTGATCTGTCTTAAAAGAGAACACTATTACAGACTTGCTGGCCTGTTTGGTACATCATTAATCTGACTAGCAGCAGGTTTTAGGGGAAATTGTATAACCTTAATTTTAATTCATTTGGTTATTCTAGTCAAAGCTTTATTCTAATTTCAAAGTGAGTGCATGCAACCTGCATTAATACAAATGAAGTTACTTGTGGATACCAAAATATCCCTTAATTTCAGGACACCATCTCTATTTTAAATGCACTAGAATTAAAATGACAGCCAACCAGAATGTTTTCCATTTAGTCAAACTGAACTTTTTTGGCATTTAAAAATGTCTTAATTTTCATTTTCCTGTGCCTTTGGGTTTCTGGTTCCAGCCAGCTGCTAAAGTGTTGAAATGCTGCCAAAGAGCTTATGTTTGCACTATTTCTGGCCCAAACAGATTTAGGAAATACCAGCAATTGTACCAGAGTCCATTCTCATGAGATTTCTAACACAAGTTTGTAGACTCATGGGGTTAAGATAAGCATCTAAACATGTATTTGTTTATCTTAAATACTAAATCTCTGAAGGTTTACTCATTGCTAGAATTAGGTCCCGGACTGAACTAGCATTTCTATGTTGTCTTTCATTTCTAATGGTCAGCTTTAGGGTAAGAAGTCTTAGACAAAGCAGTTGGAGAAGATTGCATTGTAGCTACCTAAATTATTTCTAGTCCTCTTCCGTTTCAGCTAAGTTTGTCCCTTAATTTTCAGTCACAAAGCTTCTATCTGAACATTTTTAAAGAAGAAAAAAAATCAGCAGTTATTTAAAAGCACTTAATAGTCATTGTACTATTTTATAATAAAATTAATGAAATGTTGAGTATGTCATAAAATTGGTACTTCATTCAAAGCCATAATTCTTTATTAAGGCTTGTTGAATTGAAAGGCACAATATGAGGTTTGCCTGTACCTTAGTGCTATTTTAATAACCACATTCAAATTTGAATATCGGTGTTTAATCAAGTTTGTTAACCCTCAGGTAGTGAATGGTTAAATTTACAATATGGAGGTTTGAACTAAGATGACTGGTATTGTTCGGTTTTATCTTTTGTTTTTAAACTGAATGTGATAGTGTTTCTTTAAACTTCCATTTGTAAAATATACAAATATAATTGCAAGACAAACTTTTAGTAAATTACACCACAAAAGCTTTAAAGAAAAAATGTAAATTATTTAAGTGAAACACTATGGGCCTGATTTTGCAAACCCTTAGCCACAGTGTGAATACTTGTTTGACTAAGGGCCGCAAGGTCTCAAGTTAAAGATGCTATTAATTTGTTTGTGGACTTAATTGCCATAAACTGTATAAAGGACTGTCATGCTCCCTTGCCCTGGACTCTGCCTCAGTTTCCACTCCATCTGTGGAAATGAGTCCTGAGCCAGACTTTTACCATTTTAGAGCCCACATTCAGAGGATTCCAATAAGTAAACAGAAACTAACACAAAGAAACAGTCTCAGCGAATAGTTTGTCTCTCTGGACTCTTGTTCTTCTCTTACTGAGAAAGAGTCATGAACCACCCTACCACCTCAGCATTGGCTGCTGTTCCCCATCCACACTGGGGTTATCAGTCTCTTGTTCCAAATTGCCTGCGTTCACTATTCCCTCCCCACAAACTAACTTCTTTTCAAAGGACTTTCCACCTTCCTGCTCCCCCCCTAGAAACTAGTTTCAAACTGCAGGCCTTTCCTGTCCAGAGGCACTCACCAGCTCTCTTTGCAAAGCTAATAGGATTTCTCCTACTGTCTCTCTTCTCTGATAGTTTCCCCTCAGGCTTCTGCGTACTACTTCTAAGCCCCAGTTCAGTGTTTGCCCTCTGCTCTTCCTCATGTAGGGTCCTTTCTAACCTGTAGAGATCTCAAGCCTTCCCCAGAGAGAGAACACTCTTGGTTGCTTCCTTCTTATACTACTCAGACAGTCTCCTTATAGAGTTCAGCTGCTCCATTACTAATTTGGCTGATGAGGCATCACTTGGAGCACCTGATTGCTCCAAAGTGTAGTTCACAGGGTGGTGGAGGGCAAGTTGGGCAAGTGTTGTGCAAAACTTTGGGACATATCAATGCGTGACTATTTGCAGTTGTAAACAAGGTTTGAAAATATTTGTATGTAGAATGTGGACTTCCTTTTATTTCTCTTTTGATACAAGTAAGTCTGGCACAGGATAAGCTGTAGCTGTAAAATATTTAGTTAACATAATTAAGGTTTGTGGCTCAAACTCACCAAGGTATAGGGTGGACTTCAGAACCACTTTCATCTTTCCATGCACTGCAGTATTTTGTTTTAATTACAAGCCTAGTCGGAAAACTAAAGAGAGGTTGTTTTTATATAATTCCTGTAGATCTACATTTCTCTCATAATTTATACTTAAATTTTGTGAGTTGATTTTTGGCTTAACAGGAATAAAGCTGTCCTATTGATTTTGTTTATATACAAAATAATTTTGGTGCCACACACACTGAGGTTGAACTATGATTTCTTAGACATTTCAAAATATGTAACTGACTATACAATGAAAACTAAGTAATAATTAAAATATGCAATAACTTGGAAGTCATTTATTAATTTTTCTGTAGAAACATTCCTTTTTTCCTTATGACTTTAGATCAGTGGTTTTCAACCTTTTTTTTTTAATTTTCGGACCCCTAAAAAATTTCAAATGGAGGTATGGACCTCTTTGGAAATCTTAGCCATAGTCTGCAGACCCTTGGTGGTCCACTGACCACAGGATGAAAACCGTGTTCTATGGTAAAGACAACCTTTCGCAGTCCCCTTAGGTGTAAGTCCGCGGACCCCAGGGAGGCGGGAAACCACTGCTTTAGATATAGACTAAGACAATCTATATATAGGCCTTGATTCTGCATCCTGTGACTAAGGTAGAATTCCATGTTTGCAGGGATCTCTTCTAGCAAATCCTGATGCAGGATCAGGCCATAGACACTAAGTTAATTATTTGTAATGGTTGAATTTTATTCTGAAGAATTCAAAAATGACACCCAGAACAAACACAGTATGTTCTAATTGTTCTAGCCATGATTTATATTTGTTGCTGTTTTGTTTGCAGTACATAATATCACATCTTATAATGTTGGTGCAACTTTAAAATTGTAGATGATATATTATCATCCAAGTCCTCTGTGTTCATCGACGTGTCAAATTTTTATTAAGAACTTATTTGTAAAAGATATACTATGTTTTATTTTGGTAATCTATTTTTCTGCACTGGATTAACGGTCTGAGGCAGCAGTAAAGTAAAACCTGCGAAGAGCTACATCAACTATGTCATGTTATACTGTAACTGTATAATAGATGTGTTTCCTGTTAACTAAAACCATCCCAGGGGCAAGGTGCTTTTCTAAGCAATATCAATGTGTTTAATAGTTTTATTAAGGCTTCTTTCAGTTTCTGAATCTATTTCAATCCTGGCCTCTTGTACCTTTCTTAAGTTTGTCTGCCTGTCAGATCACAATTGCAGGGAAAGATGTAATGGAGCAACAGAATAGTTAATGCTGAAGACACAGGGCCAAATCCTTCAGTCTTGCTGATTTGCCAAGGTAAACACCAAGGTCCCAATCCTCAACAACGTGAGAAGCCTGTACCCATTGGGCCTACTTGCCTAAGTAATGACTACTCACAGGAATATTAGTAGCAGGACTGGCCCTGAGTAAGGACTGCAAGATTTGGCCCAATTTATTTAATGTAATGTAAGCATTTTGGAGTATATGCTCCTCTTGCTATGCATGTTGGCTCCAATTGTTACACACATTTGAAAAATCCTGACTCATAATTGCTGTAAAAAGTTACATGGTGACTCTGAATGTTATCGTTTACCTTCCGGAGGTTAAAGTACTTGGGTTTGGAACAATGTTAACCAGCTGAAACACTGACAGTAAGCAAATGGGGCATCCTAATTGACTGCATATGAGTTCAGTAAAAGTAGCCACTATCTGTTGTTTGTTTTTTTCCCCCTAACTTGGCTTTGTAAGAAGATTTCTGTAATAAAATTGCTGGATTTGTATACAAGTCAACTTCAAATACATCAAAGCTGTACTTTAATACCGCTGACATATTTACATAACATAGGTATATTTTGCCACATGGAAGCCAGGACTGCCTTCATTGAGGCCCCACCACTTCGTACTGCCTTCTGCTTTCCACGCTAATAAAGCAGAATGGTTATTAACTAGTCTTGATGCCATGTCCCTGACCCCCCTCTCCCCCCCCCCCCCACACACACACACTGCCAGTATTCCCTGACATTTCTACTCAGGAAGCTTCTACTAATCAGGGTGGCTAATGCTCAACTAGCCAGCATTACCTGAAGGGGGAAAGGGAAGAATGATGCCATGGAAAGAGGCTTTCATGCATTCCCACTCCTGGAGTTGATTCCCCCAGGGTGAGTGTGTAAGGGGAGCATGCTGATGAGCCAGGATTCCATTATGTCCTTGAACCACAGACAGCTATTAAGTATTCCCCTTGGCTTGCAGAAGTGGAACAGAGTGTTTAAGGCTTGATTTATTTCTTTGGTAATTACAGAGAAGTAGTCAAAGTTGTAGTATTACTGATTTCACAAAAGAAACGTCATCAAACAGTAAAGATCAGTTTTATTGACTTCTCAAATGATCTACATTGCAGATTAAAAGTAGTGAAACAGGAGTAGAAACAGCTGTTGAATGATTTTTTTATTAATGTAACACACCAATGTACTTGCATAGTGGTGTTCATTATAATTTTTTAGAATGACCTATAGTATCCAATGTGGCACAAAAAAATTATCACTTTTTTGTCAATGCTGCCGTTAATTAAAATCCTTACCTGTGGGGGGTCATAAGTGGTTAATTCAGCACAAATATAAAAAACATTTTATGTCAGGGTTTCCTGTTGTCTGTCAAACTTTTCTTGGGTGCCTTTTACTGTATTAAATGTACAAAAGTGTAGTGAAAAATGTATCAAACTCATTAGTAGCAGATATTGCTAAGTGCAGAGGAGTCAAAAATAATTGTCATTGAGTGATTGTCTTCCTGTAAAGTATCAGTAACTCAGGTTAAATCCCCTAGTACTTTTTAGTCACAACAGTGCAGGTGATGTTTTAAAAGAGGGAATGGAAAGCCCTGGTAACATATGGACTTGTGGGAAAGATACAGTTAAGAGGTCTTTTGCACTTCTACAAGAAATTTTTTTTAATTACTAAATAAAGGATTCTGAATGTTTGTTCTAAAATCAACAGACTGGAAACAGACATGTAAATTGAGTTACTTTTTTCCAATTTTTATTTTACATTCTGATTTTTCTCTCTTTAAGAATAAGGGATTGAGCTGATTAGTGATTGTGTCATGACTTGTAAGAACCGTATGCGCTTAAAAAGTCATACTGTAAGACTGATGAATGTAAAGATGGTTAATTTAAAGCTATGGTTTTGCCTTAATAGTTCAAAAATAAAATATTTTTTAAAATTGGATCACAGGTTTTAATGAGTGGTGCATCACGAATGGTGTTTGATTTTCTTGGTGATAAAAGACACATTCAGAGTGATCACAAATGTGTCCTGTATTTTTAAAGCAAACATCTTTGCCACCCTCTGCTGACCGCATCCAGCACTTTATCAGAAAGAGCTGAAAGTCCAAACTGGGTCCCTCATTCTGTAAACATGTTTTTATATACACATGAATAACTTTTACAGGTAAATAGTTCTGTTTTAAACTCAGTGGGACTACTTACTTAGCTCTTCACATGCATCAGTGTTTGCAGGGGTCAGGGCTTAGGTTAGTATCTCTCATGAAGCTTTGTCAGATAAAGACTGATAGGTGTTGCTGGAAAAAATGTGTTCCTTTGCAACATCCTGCACCACTACAATAGAACTGGTTTAATTTGTCATAGAGCTTTGTCTTAATGGTTTTTCCATCTCCGAGCTTCTGATATGCAGAAATCACTTAGTGAGTAATCCCACTGATTTCAGTGGTGCCACGGGTGTGGAGCTGAGCATACAAACAAGTGTTTGCAGGATTGGGGCCTAAATCTCTCATGGTAACATGTAAAGAATACGTGCTGGGTATGCTTATTACAAACACCACTTATGCACTGTGAGAGCAGTTTTTAAAAGAATATCAAGAGCATATTTAGAAAAATGCATCCTATCCCAAAGCTTGGAGATTAAGTGTGATAAGCTGCTTCTGAAATGAATGAGACTACTTATGTTAGTGAGCAGAATGGCCCCAATTCAGCGAAGCATTTAATTACATACTAGTCATCCCTGTTCAGCTAAACCCTGAAGCACATCCTTAAAGTTAAGGATGTGCTTAAGTCCTTTGTTGAATAGGGATGACTGTTTGAATCGGGCCTTATGCTGGGTAGTAAGTGTTGGCAGGGTCAGGCCCCTATTTTGGAATAACAGTGAAGAGAGTCCCTGAAATATCCCAGAGGGTAATTACTAATAACCGGAACAGTTGCTTGAATGCATTTGCATTTTGTAACTAGAAAAAACTTCAATCATTATTCTCCCAGATCTAGTTTATATCATCACAAGTTACTGTATTATCCCATCGGCCTGGACCTTTGCTCTAGCTCACTTGTTCAGTGCTAAATATCCTATTACATCATCAAACACATTCAGTAAAATTTAGTTAATAGTTAAAGTACCAATGTCACGTCATATTTATTCAATGTGTGCAACCTCCCCCTCTTGTGGTTGATTTTTTGAATGTGCTTTAAATTTACATAGCTAAACATACTCCAATAAACTACTTCCAGCATACAGAGGTTACGCAACAGCGTATAGGTGTTCATGTTTTAACGCATCTCAAATTTCACTTCAGCCTCCAGATCTGACTAATTAAAGTTAGGAAAAGATGCCAAAAACTTTAAAAATCACCCCTAAAGACTGTGTCACTGAGTTTGCAAAGGACAAATTTCACGTTGCTGGTAATGTGTTGTTCTGTACTGTGTGTGGCAAGGCTGTAGATTACCTTCAAAGGTGGACAATTTTTGAACACATGGAAAGCGCTAAACATAAAAAGAAACAAAAACAAAAGGCTAAAACAGTAGGGCCATCGACAACAGTAAAGAAACAATGCCCTGTGATGTGAGCATTCCAGCTGGAACACTTTTCAACTGATACCTATGTATATAGTGGCTAGGGAAACTGAAGTTCAGTGTTTCATTTTAATTGTGGGAAAACATGGATTTGTATGGGGGGTTTTTATTGAATTTTTTTTTTCACTAAAAACTAGGATCCCTGATCATCAGTTCACTCCTGGGAAAGTTGGAGCATTTATTAGTTAGGAAAGAAAAATGCTGAAGAGAAAGCACTGAAGAGGCTGGAGAAGCATGCTGCTGCTCCAACCATGCAGAGATGAGTGGTGGTTGATGGCCTGTATGTGCTAGTAAATTTTTCCTCAAGTGTAGTATAAAGAAAGGGGGGGTGATGTGGATGAAAAACATATCTGACAAGAGATGGGCTTAAGTTAGATCTTCATGCTAATGCAGCACTTAATGATGCTCTCCAGTTTAGGCCTCACCCCAGCACTAACCTGGCAGGTGGATAGTAGCATTCTTGTTCATGCAGCATTGGACTTTCCTTGTTTAGCTCATCCCTTTTTACTATGCTCTGTGTGCAAAACACTCTGCACCTGTGTGTGCAGGGCCAATGATGAAATGTACCTGTTAATGATGTGGTATACCAGAAGATGAATTAGTTTCTGTTTAAAAACTTTGGGATTTTCATATTACTCTTTTATCTCAGATACTACTGACAATTGCTTTAAGAAGGTTGGGTTGACTGTGAGCATGAGCGTTTAAAACTATTATTTCAACATGTCTAAGATGGTGTATGCTTCTGAAGCCTACATTCAAGACAGCAGCCTTTCTTTTCCCTCATCTGCCCCTTCTGTTTTAAATGCTGACCAATTTGTGTTAAAATTACTGTTTCAGGGGGTTTTTTTTAGAAGGACTCCTTCTGGTACAAAATTACCATCCACTTTCACATAAGCTGACAGACACCAATACATAATTGCTATATATTTTTTTTTTAAAAACAAGAAAAGTACATTACTACCTCCCATCATGTATCTCTTTCTGCTTTTTGCAGTTTTAGTGTTAGATGAGATTCAGTTATCAGCCCAAGATTAGCTACAATTTTCAAAACTTTTTTTTCTGGCAGTAGATATTTAACATACATTTGAAATTTAAAATGCTCTGTTTTACATTGTGGTAAGTTTAATGTCCCAGATCTATTTTTTCTGGATGGGAACACTTTGTTAGTAAAATGTTCATGGGAAACATTGCATTAAGAAGGAAATCCAACAGGTTAAGTTCTGGCCTACACTCAAGTGTAGATAATGCAAAAGCATGTATGTTTGATCTTGTTTGTGTGATGCTGTAGAAGTGTGCAGTGCTATTAATCTATGCAAAAGCAATTTTTTCCCATAAAAAGCACATAGCTCAAAAGTTTGCAAGCTAAGTTGTAAATAAGTCCTGCTCCTGCAATTTATCAGCAAACATCTTTGTTCCTGCTGCATTCCATGGAACTCCATATGGCTCCAAAGGTGTCCACACACAACCAGTTCCAGGACTTTGGGAGACCTAAGAGTCCAATCCTATAAGCCATATTCTTGTGAGTAGTTTCACAGAGTAGCCCTTGGACTCTGTGTTTGTTTGTTGTATCCACCTGACTTCAGCCTTGCAATTTATTCACCAGTGATAGTTATCACAGCAGAAGCCACCCTCATATCATTATAATACACAGGTACTGTAGTGATCAGAAAGACCCTGCTGTCTAAATTACATTTCTATAGGATGACTGGACACTACTGTTCCCACAAGCAATGTGGAATTGACTAGTACGCTTTTAGTTAAGATATCAAAGCTGTTTTCTGTGGGACTAGATGGCTCAGAGGAACAGTAATGAGATCTGGAGTTTGACCTCTAGGCCAGTGGTTCTCAACCAGGAGCCTGGGGCCCTCTTGGGGGCTGCAAGTTTAGGGAGTCTGCCAAAATAAACCCGACAGCAGGGCCAGCGTTAGACTTACTGGGGCCCAGGGCAGAAAGCTGAAGCCTGAGGCCTGCCACCCAGGGCTGAAGATGAAGTCTGAACAACTTAGCTTTGCAGGACCCCCTGTGGCATGCAACTGCCCTGCTTGCTACCCCTTAATGCCAGCCCTGGCTTTTCATCTACTGGATATGCAGAACAGTAGTAGCTGTGGAACATGTGGTCCATGGAATTTTTATAGCATATTGTGGGGGTCTCCGCAAGAAAAAGCTGGAGAACCCCTGATCGAGGCCACTAGCTAAAATCTGGCCTGGGTCAGCACTCAGTGAAAGTTATGACAACTGTTTAATTTACACTACATGAATAAGTGGGTAGTCCAGCACTCAGTCACATTAGTCAATGTAGTATGAATCTGCAGCCCTAGCAGATCAAAATATTGCACTCTGTGTCCGTCTCTCTAAATATTCATTCAACACTGATCTCAAACAAATCGCCTGGTACAGCTAACTCTAGTCAAGAATCAATTATTTTGGCAAATTAACCATTTACTTGTTATAAAAAAACTTCAATCAGGTTAAAGTTCACATTGACTTTAATTTTTATATAAAATATCCCATGCAAGTAAAGCAAAAATCAATAAAGGCCATCATTTCAACTGTTTAAACTGTCACAGCCTAATTTAAATCTCTTGAATTTCTCTTTAATTGCCCAAGACAGGCAAGGGTTAATCTGACAGAGTTTACTGGCTGAACTTTTATTATTTCCAAGTAAATCATATTGTCCAGTCAAGATAAAAAAATGATCTGGAAAGCATTCTCTTTTTCTAATTTGTAAAGGAAACGCTGCACCCAGGAAGGAACCCTTTCCCACTCCCCCACCCAAAGGCTGTTTCCACCTCATTGGAAGTTGGAGTGAAAAGTGCTTGCAGTCTTGTAAGTATCAGCTGATATGTTCCATTGCAAGTTTAATGCCACACGATGACTTCTGCAAGCAGATATAGTCTTGACACAATGGCCTCCAGACAACATACTTTTCTATGAATATCTGTTCTGATATGCTCTGTGATCTCATGCTGCAGAACAGAAACTTAGGGGGGGGAAAATAGTCAGGAGGCATCAGGTTCTTTGCCTACCATAACCTTAGTGAAGTGATAGTGTCAAGTTAACTGTTATGGGCCAGATTCTCAGCTAAATGGTCTTCAGTCGAACTATATTGACAAACCAGCTGAGAGCATTGCCTGTATTTTTAAAAAGAAAAGGAGGACTTGTGGCACCTTAGAGACTAACCAATTTATTTGAGCATGAGCTTTCGTGAGCTACAGCTCACTTCATCGGATGCATACTGTGGAAACTGCATCCGATGAAGTGAGCTGTAGCTCACGAAAGCTCATGCTCAAATAAATCGGTTAGTCTCTAAGGTGCCACAAGTACTCCTTTTCTTTTTGCGAATACAGACTAACACGGCTGTTACTCTGAAACCTGTATTTTTAAAAACACTTGCAAGAAAATGTCTAACACCCTAGCTTATGAAAATTGAAAAACTAAAATTCTTGACCTTTTTTCCATCCTTTGTGCTGTTTAATATTTGCATTACATGTAACCTGGTCAGTGACCACAGGCCTGGCTGCTTCCCTTTCTGGTTCTCCAGCAGCAGCCCAGTGCTGGAGTGCCTGCATTGCAAACACGGCATGGGAATACCTAAATCCAAACTAACTTAAAGCACTGTCATGAAAATACTTGTACTGGTAGTAAACTGCCTAATCATCATCATTACAAAAATCTACATTTTAGGGCAAACAAAGAAAACACAACCTCTGAGTGGTGTCTCTTCCAGTTGCTTTTAATTTAAGTTCTTGCATCTGCTTTTTTGGAGGGGTGGGATTTTGAATGAGACTTCCTTTTCTCCAAGTCTTGTCGTATTTCCAAAGGAAACTCCCGTAGGTTTTCATTAACGCAGGGGAGGCAGAACCTTTTTGAGTAGAAAAGACTACATTCCTGTAAAAAGAAATAAAAAAATATATATGTAATTAGCAGTATAGAAAAATGGAATTGGTTACATTACAGCTTCTCTAAACAGTGTTTTTTCAACGTTTTTGATCCCAGGGACTGGCTTGCTGCCATCTTAAGCTGTGTCAGGGAGACTTCAGGGACCAGCACTGTCCATGGTCTGGTCATCGAGAACCACTGCTATAAACCAGACTTTGTATTCACTGTTCTCCCTCCTCCATTCAGCTCATGTCGCTTCCTCACTAATGGGGAGATCATTCCTGGTTCATTCAGCAGGGTAGGAAGCCACAAGAAGCTTTCTCCCTCCAACCCCCATTCAGGGTTAAAGGCAATTGCGGTCCTTACACATTGCTACAAAGGTGGTTATGTGAGAGACCATTTCTTATGGCAGTGCCTAGCTTTACTGTAACTTCAGCTGCACCTTGGTCCATTAGCCCACTACAAAATATACTATTCTTTGTACTGCTCTATATGCTTAGTGTTGCTGGGGGCACAGATCCAGATACACAGATATTGTGGTGGTGAACTCCACAGAAATGCTTTATCAATGAACAACGGAATCTAAAACATAGTTTAATTCAATTGTGAAATTATCCACTCACCACTGCCTTCTTAAATTAGTTCTTTGGGGGGAGAAAAAGGTGATATTGAGGGGACAAAACTCTTTTAGCTAAATTGGAGTTGGCCATGTAGATTGCTTCTGCTTGAGTTTTTGCTGGGGTACTGCCACATCTGTTGTGAATAAGGCCAATGGTTTCCCTGATTCTATTGTGCGGTGACTCTTGGATCCAGCATATTTCACAGATGATTAGCCAATGCTGTAGGCCCAAAAATGTTGATCCAGTTGGCTCTAGCTAGGTACTTCTTATAAAGGAAGAGGTGAAAGCATAGCTGTGATATTTTAATCCAATTTGCAATTCACAAGTTTGCCAACCTTGAAGACAAGGTTATTAATGTATCTGTCTCTCTGCCCTGTAGTGGGACCACAGTTTATGGTTCTGCTGGTGTAGACCACTAGGTTCCACCTGCGATTCCATGCATGGAGCTGGCATTGGTATTGCTGGTGGATTATTCTTGGGGATAATGATTATTCTTCAGGGCTAATGAAGAATGCGCCTTTATAAGGTTTCCTTACAGGTACTCAGTAAATTGGTTCTTTCATGCATTCAGTACTGAGACAGGTTGGTATCACTTTAGGACATACCTATATCTTGGAAAGCCCCATCTCTGAGGCATGGTCTGAAAAGGTATTTGTTATACCATCTAGACAGCCTACTGGCTGTTTGTCCCTAGCTGCTCTTCATTCTTTATAATGGCACTGACAGAGTGGTGATTTTCAGTTTTTAAATTGGCCATGCTATTATTATTTCTGTTCTAGCAGGTCACACCTGGGATCAGGGCATCGCTATGCTAGGCATTGTCCCTACATATAGCAAGAGACAATTCCTGATCTGAAGAGCCTACAACCTAAGTAGACAAGAAGGAAGCATTGTATCCCCTTTTGGAGATGATGAACTAAAGCCCACAGAGATTGAGACTTGCCTAAGATTACACCCGCAGTCTGGGGCAGAGCTGGGAATTGAACCCAGGCTTCCCAAGCCCATTGCTTTAATCACAAGACTCTGCATTGTACTTAAGTCTTCTAAGATGTAGACGCTGGGTGTATTCAAGATCTTCTTCTTTGATGCTTGTCCTGCTGGGAGTCAGCCGTCCATTACCATCTACTGTTTAAGGATCCTGCTATCATGCCCCCACTCTGCAGATAGTCAAGCCTTTGCTGTGGTCAGCATTAAAGAGCAAAATTCACTTCCCAGTCCTTCAAAAAAAAAAAATCTATATCTGTTCAGCTTTCCCGCTTTTGCAAAATACCCTTAAAATAACATCTGACCCCTTGGCAGTATATTTATCACTTCCCCCTTTGGGATGTATTGGACCCCAGAGTTTTTAAAACTGCTTTCTTTGCATGGCATTATACACCGTACTGAAATACATTGGCCAGGGATGTTTTAAGATATTGCTGTTAAGTTACACAGCCCACAACAGAGTACAAATAGCTCCTCTGCTGGTTTATTTTGGGTTGAAACAGTCAAGGGAATCATCTATGCTCAAGCAAATGCTTGACTCAAACAAAGTATCTCACACAGTGCTCTCAGTATTATCACTAGTATAATGCGTGCTGTGAATCACATCAGAGCAAATGACCTCAGTGAGATTTAAGACTAGGAAAACAGATTAAGGTAATATAGTGAACACCTTGGCTAGTGAGTATATTCAGCCTGTACTGCTGAAGTTCTGGCTTTTTCCTTTTCACTTTTCAGATGAAAGTGAACCCATTATTGCCTGATAAATTTAAACGGTATCTCCAGACTAACTGAAGCTAAAAGCTGTCAGACCTATCCAGACAATGGAAGCTAGCAAATTAAATCCAGCATCTAAGGGGAGCCAGGTCCAGTTTTGCCAGATGTTTCTCTTGTACCATTGCACACTAACAGAAGAACTGAAAGCAACCTGCTATTATTAAAAAGTTGTCCTACATACTGATCTGCCTATTTACCACACTGCCCCAGTGAAGTGTGGCTTTCTTTAGCTTCAGAGGTTTATTAATCCACTGGGATGAGCCCAAATCTGGGAGCCACAAACTCCTGAGCTCTAATCCTAGCTCTGATTCCACGTATGGCCTTGGGCAAGTCACTTAACCTCTCCATGTCCTAGTTTCCCCTACATGAAAGAGGAACATTTACCTATCTCGCATGGACATCAAAAGGATTAGTTAGGTAACATTGGAAAAGTTCTACGGAAATGCTAAGTGTTATTGCTAAATGCATTTAGTAACCATCTTCACACATTTTGCTCTATATCAAGTCAGGCCAGTTTGGTAGGTATTCCCAATTCCTTGCACATTTGTGGCCCTGATCCCACTGATTTAGCTGTCTTTCTTTTGCCTGTTCAGGTTAGCTATTGAGGTGGGCATGTTTATTGCTGTCACTGTCACAGGTTTTTGTTAGGAAAGATACTATCTAGGAAAATCTTGAAAGCTCATACAGAAAAAGGTGCATGATCTACTAGTTGTCAGAGGGTTGTGATTCTTTTATGAAAATTAGAACAGGCTTTTAACAGAACACTGCTCATGGCCCAAATGCATTGCTAGGCCCAAATGAATTCAAACACTTAATAAACTGCACTAATCCTTTTAGCTGACAAATGGTAGCTCTCACTTTCCTATAAGAGTTTCAGAGTGTTTGGCTGAAACTCTGAATCCATGATAAATTTAATTGGTGGAATTGAAAATACCAGTTGAAAATCTTATGTATATCAGCTGTTAAAATATCCTGAATTTAGCAATGTAATCAGTAAACGGTGCCTGATTTACTCCTTTACATTGCTAAAGAACTCAGTGGCACATAAAAGCTTTAAGGGTTCAATCCATTTCCCACTGAAGCCCTCAAATGGCTCAAGTCTTCAGAAGAAGAAACAAATCTCAGTTTGTCATCTGATAATTTTCTGATTTCCATAAATCTAAGCAATGGAAGAGAATTTAAAAAGGGGAAATAAAGCTATCAGGAGAAAGTCTTAGAAAACTTGTAGATGTTATGACTTAATGTTTGCCCCAATTAACATAGGGAATCAAATCCATCCCTGGTGTAACTTCTCTGAAGTCAAATGAGTTATATTTGAACTTGACCCAGTGTTGCTGGCCCAAACGTATCTATGCTACATTCCTGCATTACCGCCTTGATCAATGGAACGTAGAGGAATTTGGCCTCACTATCTTTCTCCTGTAGAATATTCTGTATTTTCCTCTGCTTCCTCAACAAATGCTGCCTTGCATCGGCATTTGAAATGTCTCAATTGCCCATTTGTGCTATCACACCATACCCCAATCTCCGCTCTGTCCCCTGCCCCAGCATGACTCCTACAGCAGGGTGTGCAAGAGGGGCAACAGAAAGGACTTATGGAGGCACTATGCTGTGGCTACACTGGGGATGGGACAAGTCCAGCAAGCTGTGGTACATTCATCACCCCTATCCATTGCTGGGGCAGTAAAGAGGGGGTAGAATTTGTCCCATGGTTTGTTGTAATCGCAAAGGGATCTGAAGGTTTGGAAAGAGATCTACGACTCCCTAGCACTTCTACTCACTGAAAGAGCGCTTCAGTTGGGAGTGTGAATTTCATTCTTTTGTAAGCATAATCTGCAGCAAGTTTGTACACATTCTCATTTAATACATGGAACAATGTTTATGAGCATTGGCAGGACAAAAAGGCAGCTCATTGAAAACAAACAAACAAACAGACTCTTTGGTTCTCCCCTGTTGCTGTTTGATCTTTCACCAATAGGTCATTGAGACTGGAAGAAAAATGAGAGCAAAAATATGCACCATGTATCACATGTTACTTACTGTGCCCACACACACCCGTCTGTTACACAAACTGCACTGAGATCCAAGGATAAGGAATTTGTCCTTGTCAGGGATGAAAGGATCTTTCATGACATAGCTTTCTTCCAGGAGGCTAGAAGAAAATAATTCCATGCTTTAAAAAAACAAATTTCAACTTGTGTCTGTTGTTTCCACATGAAGATCTCTTAGCAACCGATACTTTATTATTGCCATAATAGGTATTCTACACAACTTTTAACCACATTGTTTTAACCCTCATATTTATTATTACGTAGCCAAATTAAACACCTCTTCAGTACAGTCCTTTCAACTATGTGGTTTTTAATTTGGAGTCTGTTTCAAAAGTTGGCATTTACATGTAAATGCCTTTACCACTCCTAGCTATGTCAAACCTGTAAACTTAAAATTCAAACTCTCATTGGTAAGAGCTGGGTGGGTTTTTTTTTTTTGAGGGACCAAAAGATTCAAACCATTTTATTTTTTTTAATGAAGTTAACAGTAAAACAAAATTCACAACCTTCCCCGCCCCCTCTCTTCAGTGCTGATTTGGCAGGCAGCAATAAAGTGATCTAAAATACTCTTGTTTTAACTCTTACAAACTCAGGCTACACTGTTGCTCAAGAGCAGAGGTCGGCAACCAGGGGCAAGCAAGCCGATTTTTTCTGGTACGCTGCTGTCAGCTGGGGTCCCAGCCACCGGCCGCACTCAGCCCGCTGCCTGCCTGGGTGAACGGAACCCCACGCCGGCAGCGGGCTGAGTGGGGCTGACAGCCGGGACTCTGGTTGCCAGCGGTCAGAATCCCAGACCAACGGCTGGCTGAGCCGCTCAGCCCGCCGCTGCCCCACTCAGCCCGCTGACTATCTGGAGTTCCAGCCACTGGCCCCTTGCAGCCAGGGTCCCGGCCCCCAGCCCCGCTCAGCCTGCTGCCTGCCTGGGTGAACGGAACCCCCAGCCGGCAGCAGGCTGAGCGAGGCTGCAGCCGGGACCCTGACTGGCAGGAGCCGGTGGAACCCCAGACCAGCAGCAGGTGAGCCGGCCTGCTGACGGTCTGGGGTTCCAGCCAGCCGGAGTCCCGGCCATCGGCCCCACTCAGCCTGCTGCTGGCCTGTGATACCAGCCGCTGGCCCCGCTAGCCTCACTGCTGCTCTGGGGTTCCAGCGCCCAGCCCCTGCCAGCTGGGGTCCTGGCCGTCGGCCCCGCTCAGTCCGCTGCCAGTCTGGGGTTTCGTTGGGGGACCCCTGTAAATGTAAAATTTATTACTGGCATGCAAACCTTAAATTAATGAAGGTTTGGCACGCCATTTCTCAAAGGTTGCTGATCCCTGCTCAAGAGTATTAAGGTGATGCGTTGCAAGAAGTTGGCAGCTTCAGGAGGGGGAAGTCAAAGGCCTTGGGCTTCCAAGGTGCTCCAGGTGGCTCCTCAATGAAGTCAATTATGTGTCTGCTCACAGCCCTGCAAGACTGGCTCATTATTGGATGAGTTTGATTTAAATCACAGTTAAATTCACAGTGAAATGGACAACAGAACAAAAAAAACCCCAAAATAGTCTTATACCCTGATGCTGCCCTTTTAACGCAACTGGGAATGTGGGGGAAGGGAGGTGTTTACTCAAACACTGAACTATCCTGGAATTTTAAAGCATTATAGCTGTTGGTTCTGGGTAGAAAAGCTGGTCTATAAGCCTTGTAGGACGCTAGGCCACAAAGGATTAATTACACCTAGGCAAGGCACTGTGTATTCATGAAGGCTCATTTACACCCTTAACATAGGGTTTATTTGATGCAAATCCTGGTCTTTGGGCATGTCTTCTGCTCTACCCTGAATTTTGCCCAGCTTGCATTAGAAATAGTGAGCAGAACAGAAAAACATGAACTAGGAGAGCATGGGGAATAACTTCTTTGGTTATGCTTCCATTTCACTGAATAACCCAGTTTTGTCTTCACACTCTTATGTCCCCATAGCAAAAACATGGTTCTTCGTTCTTCCGACTAGAGGGAGACTAGAAGCCTGCTGGCGCTTGGATTCATATATGGAGACCATCCTGATGAGGCAAGACTGTCTCCCATAAGTCATGGTCCAATGCCAGGCCAAGCTGGTACTGATCAACTGTTGTTACCATTTTACAGCGTGCTCAGCGATCTGGCCTCAACCCAGCCAAGCACTAAGCACATACTTAATTTTAAGTCTTGTTGACTTGGATGGACTCCATGGATTTACTCATGTGCTTGAAGTTAAGCACATGGGTAAGTGGTTTGTTGGAGAGCTTGGCATTTGGCAAGATTGAACTCTGACTGCACAGTTGTTGGGCCAGACTGTACCTACCTGTTCTAGCAGAGATTTGTCTAATTCAGGCAAATACATTTCTAAAGATCTTTAAGTTATATATTATATGAAAAACTATTTAAGCAACCCTACAAAATGTAGTTTACCACATGCATTTAACTCAGGCATTAATTAAGGCACAAATTAGTTGATATACAGGGCATTTTGTGCAATATTGCATCATTCCACAGTGTGAGATTTATAAAATCCAAATACGTTCAATGAGAGCTACCCCAGAAGAGACTGTACTTACACAACAGAATGAGTATTTGGGGGTTTCTGCCCATAATAGCTGTATGGGGCTGTTAGCCCACATAGTTGGCATTCAAAGTCTCCTTTCGGCTGGGCTTCTTTGTGGGAATCCATCTATAAAACTACATACATGAAAACAAATCATTTTAGATTCAAAATACAGTACTGGGAGCACCCATAAAGGTAATTAAACTGAACTACTCCAATAGCCCTGTCTAGCCTCACCAATATCAGGGGAAGAATTTTGGATGATAGCGCAAAGGGCCTAAAGAATAAACATCAAAGGGAGATCCTCTTTTTACCTTTTCTCTTCTCTTCACATATTGAAAGCCATTTATTTTTTATTATTATTTTAGGGGGTAGAGGGAATTAAATAGGTGCTTACAGCTAGGGTCCTAAATCTGTATTTAGGCTCCTTCACAAGTGGCCTGATTTTTGAGTGCTGTGTCCCCCATTAAAGTAAGCACGCTGCTCATTTAGGGCCTAGATTTCTCAAAGCTGCCTGAGGATTTGAACAGCCTATGTGTCTAAATCCCCCAGACAGCTTTGCAAATTTCAGCCAACATGCCTAAAAAGGGCTTTAGGGGCCTACCTTTAGCCAAGATTTTGAAAAACATGCATAATCAACAGTAAGAACTGTGTTCTCTCTAGTTCCCGTTCATTTTCAACCCAGGCCACATCTTTCTGAGTTTTCAAAAAGCTTGGTTTGATGTATGTTATAGATTGCATTCTGATATAATCAGACACATGCAACCAATTTTAACACAAGTACTGTATATATGCATGCACCAAATTAACACACATCCACGAACAAACACCTGGCTACTTAGCTGCACACAAAGTTGCCTAATTTGTATGTACAAATGCACAATTCCATGGGTACAACTATTGTGTCATATTTGAAAGTTATCAAAAATGAGTTCTGTTTTTTCCAGTTTCCTACTACCAACCCCTAACCTTTTCAGGTCCAACAGCAGTATCATCTTGTACCGTGACCCTGTCAGATCTGGGCTGGGTCAGCAAGTGAATGAGACCCTGTCAAAGGGTATCTGCTCTCTGGGGATAGACTTATCCCAGCTTCCCTGGACTGGAGCAGGTGATTCTAGTCCAGCTAATTAAAGAGAGTTGCACTCCATCTGGGCTTATAAAGGGCTGCTATTGGGCAGCTGGGGGGAATAGATTACAGTGAAGAGGTGTTTGCACCTGTGGTGGGTCCCTAGAGCTAGGGGCATAGGGAAGCAGCCCTGTAGATCAGTGGTTCCCAAACTGGGGTTCACAGAATGGTACAGGGGGTTTGCCAGAAAAATTTCACTAATGGCGGCCAGAGGACCCCACGCATTGGAGGCAGCAGTTGCACGGCAGGGAGGACCCCACGCATTGGAGGACGGTTGCAGGGCAGACAGCCCGAGCCCCAGGGAGAGCGGAGCTGAGCTGTTTAGGCTGGCAGCCCGAGCCCTGCTCCCGTCAGCGGGGAAGCCAGCAGCCCGAACCCCAGCGCTCCGCGCGGGGCTGGCAGCCCAAGCCCCAGAGAGAGCGGAGCCAGGCAGTTGGGGCTAGCAACCCAAGCCCTGGCAGTCAGCGGGACCTGCAGCCCGAGCTCAGTGGAGCTCGGTTGACCGGGGCGGTCAACAGGGTCCAGTAGCAGGAGCCCCAAGGAGTGAGGAAGAAATTTAAACTTAAATCCCTGGAAATATTCATTTTTAGGACGGGGTTCACGAGATTTCACAATTTAGTGAAAGGGGTTCGCGGGCTGTTAAAGTTTGGGAATCACTGCTGTAGATGCTACCCCAGTGAGGAAGCAGAGCTGACTGAGGCTTAGGGTTGCCACGTCTGGTTTTCAGCCAGAAATTCTGGTCAAAAGGGGACATGTACGGTGTCTGATCAGAAGTACTGACTGGACACCAAATGTCTAGTTACTGCCTGCAGGGATGCTGGAATAGGGGGTTACTGCCTGCAAATGCCACTCCCAACCTGCTCCCTGCTAACTGGGGCTGGGGACTGGGAGGGGCCAGGGTGAGGTACAGAACAGTGAGGCAGATAGGCTCCATGTCTGCTCCCAGGCTGGCTCTGCAGGCAGCAGGTGAGTCCCAGGGGAGGGGGAGTGAGTAAGTGGGGGAGAGGCCTGTAGCATCTGGTTTTAAGAAACTGCAAAGTTGGTAAATCCGCTGAGGTCAGGAGGCTGCTAGGAACTGGAGTGCCAGAGACCCCTGGGAGGGGTGGCCCTGAAACTTGGGCCAAGAATGGAGTTAAGACAGTGTTCTGGTTCCCCCCCACCTCTGTTTAAAGACCCTCCTCTTCCTAAGACTCTCACCTTGGTGCTGGTGGTTCGGACTCTTCCTTTGGGGTCAGTACTGTAGGAACGTCCCAGCAAAGTGTGAGGGAGCCCTGGGCTGCTGGAAGGTCTATTTTTTCAGATGAATTAAGAAGGGGAACCTGCCCACCTGTTATTAAATAGCACGTGACACTTTCCAAAGGAGGAAGGGGTCCGAATCCTGCACTTGCAAGGATCACAATGGACTGAGGTCAAGGAGATGTCACACGGGTTCAGCACTCTTTCCACACAGATCATAATGCAGGTTTGGGGATTTAGTGTGCTAATCTCAGTCTCCCGAGCACAGTTCACTTCAGGAACAGCCTCTCTCATATTCCTCTGTAACTAAAATTCACCAGCAGTTTCAACTGGACAGCCTATTCCTCACTTCATACTCTAATGATGCTACTATCGTCAATGCCTGAGGGGACTTCATCTCTGTGGGAACCCTCTACATCTTTTAGCTTCCTCAAAGGGGCAGTGAGACACTTAAAGTGCTTTAAGAAAAAGAGGACTTGTGGCATCTTAGAGACTAACCAATTTATTTGAGCATAAGCTTTCGTGAGCTACAGCTCACTTCATCGGATGCATTCAGTGGAAAATACAATTCTGAATGCATCATCCGATGAAGTGAGCTGTAGCTCACGAAAGCTTATGCTCAAATAAATTGGTTAGTCTCTGAGGTGCCACAAGTCCTCCTTTTCTTTTTGCGAATACAGACTAACACGGCTGCTACTCTGAAACCTGTTAAAGTGCTTTGAGAAATCTGGATTAGATCTGGGCTGTGTATGTGCAATGTATTCTTTCAAGCAGAGGTTCTTAAAATCAGCTATGTACAAAATGCACTTAAAGGATCAGTTGTGAAGCCTGCATTTTAGATGACCAAAAAACTCCTCCATGTGTAATTAGTAGCAAAACAAATATATCCCTGTATCCAAATGAGATTCTGTGACCTCATTTGGAGTATTGTATGTTTAATTTGGTGACCCAAATTGCAATTATTCAAATGGTGGTAAAGAATGCACTGTAGGCCAGTGAGGATTGTTTGAAGTAAGGCATTTAAATAAAATCAAATTACAGTATCTCTGAGGGGTCTCACAGATTGTCGAGTGTGTGAGTTCAGATTAAAAGACCAGATAACTCGGGGTTCTGAATTGAAATAGATTAGATACAGAAAGGAGTTGCTGGCATGTAGAATAGACATGGCTCAGGGACTACTAAAGGGAAGGAATGACGTATATGTAGAAACATTTCTGGCTACAGCAGTTGAAAATCATGTGATCCTGCCTGTATGGCAGTGACTGGATTAGGTGAACCTCCATTGGACTCAAAGCAATGAGACACTTACATGAAACTTGATGTAGCTGATGCAACTGGAACAGCATTTTTCCTGAGCCTCATACCCTAACCAAGTGTTCTCTAGTATTTTCTCAGTGAGGTAGACTGAGAGGCCATGCTAACAAATTCACTATCAGGAAATAGTGTTTTCTCTCCATGCAACATATGAAAAATCAACCAGAAACCATTCCTTTGCTGGGCAGGACACACAGTCTCAAAGCTCCAAAGAACTCCCAAGGAGGAACAACATTTAAAAAATAAACCTTTAGTAATCATTACAGGTGAAGCAGTGGCCTAAAGGGACTCAAAATCTTTCCAGGTGTTGGTATCGGTTTCCTCCTTTAAAATGCCCACATCCTCTCAGACAATGGGGAATTTCTGAAGAAGCGCCATGTTCCAGTGATGTGTAATATTATCTGGCAAGTTTGCCATGCATCGGCTGCCGCTGAGAGTGGTGCGAGGAGCGCCAGGAGCTGGGAGTCCTGGTGCTGCAGATCAGGTCCGACGACAACACCAGTGTCACCCTGAGCGCCAGGGGCATGCTGGAGGGGACCCTGAAGGCAGCCATCCACTCACTGTACATGGAAACCCTAAAGTGTAAACTGGACCAGGGTAAAGCCTTTGAACTGACCAGCAGGTGGGATGCCAGCAACCACTTCCTCGCTGGGGGCAGCTTCACCCGTTTTGCTGACTGGCGGTTCATCCACCATGCCCGGCTCAACTGCATCCCGCTCAATGGAGCCGTCCGCCACGGGAACTGACACAAGCGTTGCAGGAAGTGCGGCTACTCCAACGAGACCCTGCCCCACGTCCTGTGCAGCTGCAAGCCCCACTCCAGAGCCTGGCAGCTGCGCCACAACGCCATCCAGAACAGCCTGGTGAAAGCCATCGCACCGCGCCTGGGGGAGGTCGCCGTGAACTGCCAGTTGCGACCTGACGTGGTAGTCACCGACGAGGCCCAGAGGAAGATCATCCTCATCGACGTCACGTCTCCTTTGAGAACAGGACCCCGGCCTTCCATGAAGCCCGAGCTCGTAAGCTGGAAAAATACGCCCCCCGGCCGACACCTTGAGAGCGAAGGATTACGAGATGGATGCCCTGATCGTCGGAGCCCTGGGCGCTTGGGACCCCAGCAACGAGCGTGTGCTGTGGACCTGTGGGATCAGTCGACGCTATACACGGCTCGTGCGGCGCCTCTTGGTCTCGGACACCATCCGATGGTCCAGGGACACCTACATCGAACACATCACCGGCCACCGACAGTACCAGGAGGTGTGAGCCGGTACGACATCATGCATCAACTATGGGAAAGGGACTGAGAGACTTTTTCCATTGGACCATATGAACTGGAACCATAAACTCACTGAACATTAAATCCCACCAAATAAGGGTAGATCCATACCCATCATCGTATCCACTCACACACTTTATACTCCACACCTGAACATAGCCATTATATGGACAATATACCCC